CTTGCTTCTATTGATTTTTATTGAAAAGATATTATCATTGAACTATTTAAATTATTGATAAACATTACCAATAATTTAAGCAATTAAATAAAAATATTTTTTTAATAAAAATAAGAGATTATAAAATTAAATAGTAAGTATGTTATTATTATCTGCAATCTGAAATCAAACAAAATAACATAAAAAATGTTATATGTAATCCAAAGTGCACTAATTGCATGAAACTAATTATTGATGGAGAGGATCCCCCAAATTTAGGGGGATATTAAGACATTTTATGCAAAGTGCACTAATCTCAAATAAATTTATGGGATATTAAGACGTCTTATTTTATGTAATCCAAAGTGCACTAATTGCATGAAACTAATTAAGTGCGCTATTTAATTATTGACTTATTTTGTCTTAATATCAATAATTAAATAGTGCACTAAGTGCACTATTTTATGCAGTCCAAAGTATGACCAAAGTGCCTTTTGGATTGCATAAAATGTCTTTATACCCCCACATAAATTGCATGAAATATATGTGAAAGGTTTGTATCTCGTTATATAATAAGATTGTAAGATATTAAGACATTTTAGTAATTAAAATATCAAGAATAATAATAAAGAGATTTTTATATTTTTATAAATCAACGCAAAAAAAAGTTCTATTAAAAATATTTAATCACTTTTACAAATAATCTTGATATTTATGTAGTTATATGATATGAATATCCCTTATTTCCAATTTTCACTTATGTAATAATGAAAATTATGAGGTACTTCAACTACGATTTTGATCACATGTAATTTTTTATGTAGTCATTGATTTGTCACTTTCAAGCCAAAGAAAATAAAAAAAGGTGGGCAAAGAATTTGTTTTATCTTTATATAGGAGTTCCTAAGAAATATATTCCAGTCCCTCCAGCTTCTCGATCATATGAAAGGGGAGAAACTCCATTATTGAGGAGTGAAATAGAGAGTTTTCCAAAAAAAAAAAAAAAAAGATACAAAAAAGGGGGAAAAAAAAAGGAGTCCAATAGAATCCAACTTAATTTTACAAGAATAAGCGGGGAACATGGTGACCAGTACCATTACTGAGCACAGTTCTTTGAACTGAGAAAGACATCTGTGGCCACTACCGCCAAAGACTTTGCATTCGAGGTCCCCGCCCTCCCCCTCTCTGCCTAGTACAATTTTCCTTAATTATTGCACTTTTAGTTGTCAAGATTAAAGAATTAATGTGAAATGTCGTATGATTACTTCAATGTTTGATGAGCTGGGAAAGAAAGAAATTCTTCATTCAATCAAGTAAAATCAACCATTTAAAACATCAATCAAGCATCAAGCAAATCAACCATTTCTCTTTATAAGAAGTAAACAATGTTTTAGCTTGTTTGCTCAGTGTAACTAGTTATTTCTTGGTAAAACTATAAAAGTAAATTAAAATTAAAGTTGAGAAATTTTTAATAAAAGTTAGAAATAACTAAGTTTTAATATCTAATTTTTATTTTATTATTATTAACAAAGAAATCAAGTGATATATATTCTTCATTCATCCCTTAGGGTTTGTTTAGATGGTAATAATGATTATTTATTGATCCAATTATAAAAATAAACTAAATTTAGAAACTTTTTTAGGAAATTAAGAATAGTTCTTTTTCGTTATATTAAAAAATTAATTGTTTGGCATTACAAATGTTTAAATATTTGACTTTAACCTAAATTAAGGTCTTTAAATTAATGAAAATTAAGAATAGCTAAGACTTAATGTCTAATATGTACCTTAAAAAAGACTTAATGTCTAATTTTTTTAGCATTAGCAAAAAATCAGGAAATACCTATTTCTAAAAAAGTGAAAAAATATATATTTTTTAGGTTAAATCCTCATTTTGGTCCCTAAACTATTGTACGAACCCTCGATTTGATCCTCACTGTTTATAATTTGACCTAAGTTGGTCCTTAAATTATTGTATAAACCCCAAATTTGGTCCTTACTGTTTGCAATTTTGCCTCAATTTAGTCTCAGAGCTATTATTTAACAGAAGGACCAGTTGGGGCTAAATCAGTAAACAATAGGGATCAAATTGGGAGTCCGTATAATAGTTTAGGGACTCAGAGATCCGTATAATAGTTTAGGGACCAACTCAAGGGTTCGTACAATAATTCAAGGACCAAATTAGGGATTTCTTTAGTTTAGGGACTAAATTGGGGGTCTGTACAATAGTTTAGGGACCAAAATAGGGGTTTAACCTATTTCTGATCTATCTCTTTGTTTAATAGAAAATTACAAACAATAAGGCTAAACTATTCCTAACCTAAGGTAGTTTCTCAAATTTCTCTTATTTTTGTTGCTTGATAAAAAAAAAAACCACTACAAGCAACTAAACATGATCTCAATTTAATAGAAAATTATAAGTATTAAGGATTACTTATTCGTAATTTCTTAAAAGAATTGCTCAATATTACTTTATTTTTAGAGTTTAATTGAGGAATAGTCATTATGACAAAGTAAACATAACTTTAGTTTTGGCTTTCATTGCCCTTTTACAAACCTTTCAAATGGACTTAGGATATAATGTTTTTAGTCAACAATTTAAATAATTCAGTGGTAATCTCTTTTTATTAAAAGTAAGAGATTTTGAGTTTGAATTATATAGTTTTTGAGTGTGAAGTAATAACAGAGAGAAGAAAGTGCCCTATTATGCAACCAAGATAAAAAAAAAAAAATACAACCTTTTGAAATGTTCTAACAGTTAAAATTTTAGATTTTTGAACTCATACATTAGAACACAAGTGTTTTTTTTTTTTTTTTTTCAAAAGAGGAGGGTTATCTTCTTATAGTCAATTTTAACATGTCTGGGCATGTCTGGGCTGGGGTCGTTGAAATGGAAGTATGGTGTAATTAATCCAATTTAGTGTACCTAGATTCAGGTTTTGAATCTTGGGTGAGATCCCTCTGTGCCCTTATACCCCTTCCCCTTCCCCTTCTGGCCTTCTCTCGCTTCTCACCCCAAATCTCCTATCACCCCCTTCCTATACTCTAAAAATTAAAAAAGAGGTTCTTTTTAATGGTGGAAGTTGCTATTAATTAGCGCACTTTAGAGTAACAAGGTGTGGTTGGTTTAGTTGATATTATTATTAGTTTACAATTTTTTTTCCCTTTAAACATATGGTTAGTGTTTTTGGAAAGAAATTTTTATAGGCTGATTTTATATTATATATTAAGTATATAAAAGATATCACCATTTAATTTTTAATTAATAGATATAAACTATCAATGATTTTTAACAATTAAACTAAATAAAGTTTTTGCAGCAACCATCGAAAGTTACATTTTTACCCTTGCATTTGAAAACGTTGGTTTTAGGGCATGTTTGGCAGGCTGCTTAAAAACTCTTTGCTCTTCAAAAAAAATTTAAAATTTTTAGGAGGAAAAAATTTAAATGTAACTTTTCAAGTGATTAATAAAAAAATTAGAAAAAAATTAGTGGCACAAGTTTTTTTTTTTTTAAGCTAACTTATTAATCACTTTAAAAATCATATTTAAATTTCACATTCAACAAATCTAAAAATTTATGTGAAATCAATGAGTTTTTAAGCAAGTTTTCTTAAAAGTGGGGGGTTCTCATGTTACTGCACACATTTGGTTTAGGGAAAATTCAATCCTTTCATTTTCCTCCCTTCCTTTCTCTGTTCTCATTTAGATAATAAAACCCCTTTCCTTCCAAATTATTTTACTACAAAGTAGAAAAAATTTCATGCCCCCTCTCCTTCCTTTTTCTTGAAACCAAACATACCATTAAAGTGACTTTAGTATTTTATGCATGGCAATAAATATAATTACAACACCAAATAAAATAATTGTCCTTAATAATATATTTAAGTTGAGAGAAATAGAGAGAAAGGGAGGAAAATGTTTTTTAATTAATTAAATTATAATTTGATTGATTAAAGAATTTTACCCTCCCCTCCCCTCTATTTTCCTCAATCAAAATAGTAAGATAGTAAAATTATTTCCCCATTCGTTTCAAAATATTTACAGTTATTTTTAATTTTAAATTTATTTTAAATTAATTATTATTTTTTAAGTAAACAAATATAATTTTTTTCTTTTTTAATCATGTTATTATTTATTAATTTTATTTATTTTTTACTATCTCTTTTTTCAAAGACAACTTTATATAGAGATAAGACTAAGAAAAATAAAAACATAATGGCAATTAAAATATCATGAATGAAAATGAAAATTTTAAAATATTTTAAATAAAATAACATAAAAATATTTAAATAAATTTATAAAAAATTTTAAATTTAAAGTATCAAAATATTCAAAATTTTAATTTCTCTTTAAAAATTAGAAATTAAATCTAAATCGATATATCAACTAAAAATAAATAACAATATATATAACTTTATTGTTAAATCATGTATATTATGGTGTGGATAAGTTTATTTATTTATTTTTTTAAATGTTGAGGATAGATCCAAACCCTACACTTAATATGAGGCGTATTTATAAAAAAAATATATAATTATTAATATTTATCTCTTCGAATCTAATGATATTAATCATATTAAAAAAAATACACTCCATCTTTTAGGGTATAAGTTTGATTTTACCCTTATAAACCTGTTTTAAAAAAAGGAAAAGAAAAGAAAGAGATGAGCATTAGGTGATAAAAACTTTCTCAGATAAATTTATTTTCTAAATTATTAGAAGTTGATAAATATTAACTGAGTTAAATTGTTGGCATGGATAATCCTTTTGAATAGGCAGTAAATTGCATTAAAATCAAACTCCAACTGCATCGCACCTTTTTGTATCAGAGCGATATTTTACCGATAATTCTCACCGAAACCCACGCGATATATTGCGAAAAAACGTGGAGAAAAAAAAAAAATTCAAAGTTATCGTCAACCTTAATTACCATCATGCCACCACCTTAAATCCTTAATTTCCATTTCTCTCCTTCTCCTCCTTCTCCTCCTCCTCCTCCATCCCCCAATGCCATATGTAACGTTTTCTTATACTAATAATATACTAGTACAACTACTTGGCCATCAATTCAAGGCTTGAATTTAAACTCTTGTAGAATTTCGCAGCGACACAAACACAACACCACACTCTTCCATCTAGCAATCCTCTTTCGTCCCTCCCTCTCTTAGTTTCAGAGTCCCGCCACTCACCTCAGGTATACTTCTGCTTTCCCAACGCCATCTCCGTTCCTAAGCAACTTACATTCTGATTTTATGGTTTTCATCTCCGCCGGAATCTTTTGCAGCGGGAGGAAATGGGTGTGTTCTGACTTCTTTTTTTTTTTTTCTTGTTTTTGTTTGCTGCAGTTTGTTTGGGGGATAGTGATATGGGAAACTGAAAGATAGGATTTTTTATGAGAATTGGGTTTGGATCGAGAAGGAGAATAAAGGGAAGAAAATGCGGATGAAGGAAATGCATCCGCTATGCTGTATTTCGCTGGTGAGTCCGGGCATCGGAGACCAGTCACCGGAGGCTGCATCATTGACTAGAACGAGGAGCATGCCAGCAGGGACACTTCGCGGATCTGATGGTCTCAATGCCGGGCGTCCACCAGTGGGATCCGAGGCTCCTGTCGCCGGAATTCTCTACAAGTGGACGAATTACGGAAAAGGATGGAGATCCAGGTGGTTCTTGCTTAGAAACGGGGTCCTCTCCTACTCGAAGATTCGCCGGCCAGAGAATCTTTGCCTGCCATCTCCGACCGACGATGTCCGAGTGATCGGGGAAATACCCACCAATCGGTTCTCGAGGATGGACAGCTGCAGCGGTAGACGAAAGCCCCAGAAAACTGTTGGCATTGTTCAACTAAAGGTATAATTAAATCCAACCTAAAATCTTAAACACATTATCGATCCATGGAAGTTCAGATAAGAGTTGTGATCTGGTCGAAGAAAAGCATTAGAATTTAGAATCTGTGACGCATTAAACATTTAGGCGGTATAATTTAAAGAGTTTCCAATATAGGCAAGATTTTGAATAAAAAAAACTTCACTCGATTTCCATCAATTATGTCATTTTTATTACTTACAATCAAAAAAATTATGTCATTCTTGTTTCCGTAGTTCTGAAATTTTGCATCTGAAAATTCTGTGAAGAGAAAGGCATTGATATCTGAGCAAAAGGGCAAGAACCGGAGGTTTCTGGCATTGTTCGCCATGTAGTTTAAGGCCTTTCTGGGTTTCCCCTTTCTCTCTCTTCTTCCCCATGTGACTCCGAATTCATCTTTCAACCTTTTGAAAAACTTTCTGATTTTTTTTACAGCTTTAACTGGTTGTTAATGCAGAGTGGGTCACATCAGCAGGTGGGTTTCGGAGGGCTGTGATAGGCTGTGTAGTAGGTCTAGAAATCAAGGCTGATGGGCATGGCCGCATGGGTTATGAGCCATGGACGATTCAATCTTGTTTTCTCGCTTTATATTTTTTTGGCCCTTTTTGGTTTTTCTTCTGCTCACCCTTCAATTTCCTTCCTCCTTCTCTTATCTTCTGGTACTGTTTTTTCACCCACAGTACCGGAAAACGAGGAAAGCTTCCTTCTTTCTTTTCACAGTGTTTACCCCTTCTTCGTTTCCTTTTTCTTTTCCTTTTTTTTTTGTCTTGTTCTTAAATTAACGGGGAAAAATGACGTGGATCTTTTTTTTTTTTGTCCATACTTTTTTAAAGCTACAGAAATGATTTAACAATGGAAGAATTGGGGTTGTTGAGGACGATGGGACCTGCGGGGGACGGTGGTGTTGCTCCGAAATGTATATTGGGTTTTTGTTTGTTGCCATACTTTTGGGGTTTTCATGGTCTTTCTGAGGCATGTGGGTTTGGTTTTGCTGGAATAAACAAAGAGAAGCTGACGGTGGGGACTTTGACACTATGAGGTGGGGCTTCCAGCCACCATCTTAAGAACGGGAAAGGAAGTTTCTTTTCCAGACTCTTGCAAAATGTATTATTCTCCTACCAGCTGGTCGATACAAATTGATGACATGCCATCATCATGTGTTCTCCCAACCTAGTCTGAATTTTTTGGTGGGTGCTTTCTAGTTGGGATTCTAGGTCTTTGTGGCCAGACAAATGCTGGTCTTGTTAAGAGTAAGAGGATGAGAACTCAGGTTGTTTTGGGCATCTTTTCGAGGTTTCTATTATTATTATTATTTTATAATAATAAACATATGTTGGTCTGTTTTAGTTTTCAGCCTTAAGACTTGCATTATCCTGAATTGATTGCATTGATGATTCTACCCATCTTTATTCAGTAAATGGAGTTCGATAGATTATATATGTTCATTCATTCATTTATTATGTCAATTTAATTAATGTGATCTGAGTCTGAGTGTGGGTGTATGACTTGTAAAATCCCATGTTACCCTCGAGAAAATCTTGCATGACGTGTTAAAATGCTCAGACAACTCTTCTCTTCACAGGTTTCGTCATTCCGGGAGAGCAGATCCGATGATAGGCGGTTTTACATTTTCACTGCCACAAAGACCCTTCATTTGAGAACTGATTCAAAGAGAGATCGGGAAGCTTGGATACAAGCTTTGGTTTCAACTAGGAGCCTTTTTCCTTTGAGGCCACTGAATGATAACCTCTCCCATATGCCACATGATCTGTCTCTATCAACTGAAAGGCTTAAGAAAAGGTTACGAGAAGAGGGAGTCAATGATGACCTTGTGAGGGATTGTGAGCAGATCATGCTCTCAGAGTTCTCTGAGCTAAAAGGACAACTTAAGGTTTTGTGTGAAGAACGATCGAATTTGTTGGACACAATAAGGCAGTTGGAGGTAACCTCTAGTTAAACAAACAATATGCATTGTAAACAGAAGTGATTGTGTCTAGTCATGCCTCAATCCTACATGTGGTAGAATTTGAATGTGAATGGTATGTGTTTGGTAACTGTCACCTGCTACTGATAAACTTGCATTGGCCAAGTGAACCTCCTACAACCTAAGCATTGTTAGCCTAGAGGAGGCTTAGGACTCCTCTTTGTCAATTATTTTGCCACATTATTGTTTAATCCTAAAAATTAGCAACCTAGTGAGACAAGCTTTTATTTTGCTGACAAGCCTTTTCAATTGCTGCACATTCATTGTCATGTTGAATATGCAGGCCGCTAATATTGAAGCTGAAGCTTCTGGAATTCATGATGGTGAATACCAATTGACAAAGAATGAATATTCCAGTCTAGGGCGTGGAAAATATAGTGGTATGAATCCTATCTGCAACCTAATCTCCACTTTTTAGCATTTTTATGTGTACTTTTATGGAGTTTGCTTTTGCAACTTTTTATGGACAAACCTGTGATCATTTATAGCACAACTTGTAAGCCAATGTCTAATAATTTGAGTGGAGGTCTTCTTGAGTATGAATTGCTCATTCTGAAAGTTTCCTCAAAAGTTTTTGAGTACATCCACTCGAGAAATATTTTTAGGAAACTTTTCATGTAGACCTCTCTTACTTTTTTTCCCAGTCCCTTGAAGAAGAGCTATATTTCATGTCCACTTTATTCTGGAGTAGAAAGGCTTGCATAAAGGGTTTATATGCTGTAGGAGCCATGGTGATAAATATGGAAGCAAGATTTCATTATATGACATTGTTATGCATTATGTGTTTCTATTCATAATTTCTTGCCCCTCTTCTTTTTGCTTGACATCTGTTTGGGTTTTCAGAATGCAGTACGACTGAATCATCTGATGATATTGAGAAGCAAGAGCTTGAGGAGGTGTCTGATGAAGATGAAACCTACTTTTTTGATACAAAAGAGGATTTTACTGAACCCAGTGTTAGGCATGGATCTATAACAGGAGTCGTTGATGGTGCAGGAAAGCACAGGGAAACTGAATTTCAGTTTGATAATGAAGAGAACATTCATGCAGAGAAGGAAGATTGTAATTCTACATATCCTTACATTGAAAGGCGAAAAAGACTTCCAGACCCAGTTGAAAAAGAGAAGGGGGTCAGTCTTTGGTCTATGATCAAAGACAATGTGGGAAAAGATCTCACAAGAGTCTGTCTTCCTGTTTACTTTAATGAACCAATATCATCTCTTCAGAAATGTTTTGAGGACCTGGAGTATTCGTATCTTTTGGATCGGGCCTATGAGTATGGAAAAGCTGTATGTTGTATACAATACTTGTCTCTCTTTCTGTTCTGCATTAATGCTTTAGATATGATTGGTTTTCTGCTTTCACATATAGGCTTTAAACAATTCAATCCATTTGTACATTTTATAATTTTAGAAGCAGTTATTTGTCATATTAACTACTTTTTTGCTCATATGGTATTAAGAGTTTGTAGTCATGATTTTCTGTTGTTACTCTAGAAATCTGACATCCTTTCTATCATTCCTTTCTTCCATTGTCTAATATCCTCATTGACTCAAATTGAATGTTTCCCAAAGTTTTTAATGAATGTTAACAATTTGTTCTTGGTTTTAATTTGATAAGGCTCTGCTCTGTTTGGGCATTTTGTTATCAGGGAAACGGCCTACTACGGATTTTAAATGTTGCTGCATTTGCAGTTTCTGGATATGCTTCATCTGAAGGCCGGCATTGTAAGCCCTTTAATCCTCTGCTAGGTGAAACTTATGAAGCTGACTATCCTGATAAAGGAGTTCGGTTTTTCTCTGAGAAGGTCTGTATTTGGTGTCTCACAATGTACATTTTTTTAATGATAATAAAATGCAAAATGATGCTGCATTTTTTTGGAACTTGATTGATTTAGCAACTTAGTTTGATATATTGATTACCTTTGACTTTTCAAGAATTAAGAGAGTCCAGTTGGTGAAAGAGAGCATCCTCAAGAAGAAAATTCGATGGATTATGATGATTAAGATATTAAAACCTACAAAACTGGATTGAAGGATAAAATATTACCATGTTGTTTCTTGGAAGCTTCATTTACAACCATTCTTACAAACTTGGAAGATATAAATTCCCTTTAAAGTTTTCTGAAGAAAAGCAGGAGAATGATAATTCTATAATTATTGGCTTGAAGTTCTTCAGTGAAAGGAGTTTTAATAAATGTTGTTCTTAATAACTAAGTACTTACTTTTCTAGATCTTTATTTGAAAGTAGAAGCTTTATTCTAATTGAAATTTCAAAGCACATGTGACTAATATTTCCTAGTTGAAACAGGTAAGTCACCACCCAACCATCGTTGCCTGCCATTGTGAAGGAAGAGGATGGAAATTCTGGGCTGACAGCAATATCCGTAGTAAATTTTGGGGGCGGTCAATTCAGCTTGATCCTGTTGGAATTCTGACCCTAGAGTTTGATGATGGTGAAGTTTTCCAGTGGAGCAAGGTGGGTCACAACTAGTATTTATAAGCTTCTCCATTCTTATTTATTTTTATATTTAAACACCCTTTTTTTTTTTTGGTGGTAGGTCACAACTAGTATTTATAACCTTATCCTTGGTAAAATTTACTGTGATCACCATGGAACAATGCACATTCAAGGCAATCGCCAATATTCATGCAAGCTCAAATTCAAAGAGCAGTCTTTTCTTGACCGGAACCCTTACCAGGTCAGTTAATGTTTCCTTCATTTAGAAATTTAATTTCTTGCTAGTAGTCTGACTAGGTCTTTTTGTTGCTTCTACCTAGTAATTGAGCAATTATTCCAGGAAGATGGACAATTTTTTGCGTTGGTCTACCTGCTGTGTCTTTGGATTTATTTTCTGTAAGGTAATTATTTTCCATTTGCATAATTTACATAGGTCAATGGCTTTGTTGAAGACCTTACTGCTAAAAAGGTCGCAACACTTTATGGCAAATGGGATGATAGCATGTATTATATCATATCTGATGGGAATGGCAAGAAACAAGACTGCAATCCATCTTCAAATGCTACCTTGCTTTGGAAAAGGGATAAGCCACCTCCTAATCTGACTCGGTACAACTTAACATCATTTGCAATCACGTTAAATGAGCTAACTCCAGGGCTTAAGGTAGAGATGATGTATTAAATCGGTTTCTCATAGGCATTTTCCTTTCCGTCTTATGCATGTCTAATTGTTTTTTATAGCCTTGTCTGATCCCGGGTATTTGATCACGGATTAAGGAGAAACTCCCACCGACGGATTCACGTCTTAGACCAGACCAACGATATTTGGAGAATGGAGAATACGAGAGGTCAAATGCAGAGAAACAGCGGCTGGAGAAGAGGCAAAGAATGGTATGTTACTATCTCCTTTCCTGCTTCTCTCTATGATCAATAAACTCTTCTGGTTTAGATCTATCCTCTTATTATTGGTGATTTTTGTGCTACTTATGATCCCACAACGCAGTCAAGGAAATTACAAGAAAATGGCTGGAAGCCAAGATGGTTTCAGAAAGAAAGTGAAAATGGATCCTTCCGCTATGTGGGTGGTTATTGGGACGCAAGAGAACAAGGCAAATGGGATGGATGTCCAAACATTTTTGGTGAATTCAACGAAGAACTTGTTGATTCCTCCTAAGGGAGCTGAACTCACAAGGAACTTGCTTTTTCCTGGTTCTTGCCAGAGTTGGTGCCAAATTTTTCAAAGGTGTCTCAAGGGACATATGGAGTGGAATTAATCTTGTAGTTGGTGGATATTGGCTAGGTGTAGAGCCCGCTAATATTTCTTTGACATCATCTAGTGTCAGAAATAGTTTATGCAATGTATTCTCTTCTCCTTTCTCCCTGCCCATAATCTATTTATTTTGGCCTGTATTAGCATGTTGGGACGACAATTTTATTTGATAATAATAATTTGTATTTCTTCAATTTTTAAGAATAAATAAATGAAAAAAAAAAAGGTTAAATGTCAATTTTAGTCTTTTAATTTTTAATATTATTTATCCCTAAATTAGAAAAAAATATAAATTCTTAAGTTTTTCTATCAGTTATTTTGTTAACTTTATCTAAATGTGTATATTTTTAGTATTTAAATTTATAATATATGTACATTTTTAATACTTAAACTTGTAAGTTCATAGATTAAAAAGATAAATATATGAATAAATTTATAAAAGAGTGTATTTTTTAGAATTTATGAATAAAAAAAGTATAAAAAGTAGTTCATAGATATAAAATGTTCAAAATTAAAACTTCAAAACTTAAAATTGACATTTGAAAAAAAAAAAAAAAAA